CTTAGGATCATAAGACTTCAGGATCATATGTATCATCCTACGTGACTCACTTTGGTCGTCACGATAGGTAACTACTACTATCATTACTTCAAGGTATCAGCTACGATCAAGTTTGATGAAAACTAACCATTGATATTTTATTGTAATTATCTGTTTCATTAAATTTAGCATTCATAGACAATTATTTTCGACTCCACTAGGAACACTAAATCCATCAGTATAAACATTTGTTTTTGTCTTAGAATAAGTGCTAACATCTACATCAATGAAACAATAATAAACAAAACTACATAGTTCATTTATCATAACCAACTGAGTTATAAAGCTTTGTGTAAACTATGAATAATAACTTAGGGTAAGAACAAATAGAATCACGAAATATGAAAGTAGATATCATTTATTTACTGAACCGAATGCAGTATGAATTTCCAAACTTGGTTTCTCGTGTGAGTGGCGTTGATTACTTTCTGATCACTTTATGTTAGTGACTATTTATTAGTCTCGAGGATACAGTTCGTAATTTCCCTCCATTATGATGATGGCGAAGATATTTATGGTTTTAATCGTATTTTATAATTAGTAATCCATTAATATGCACTTTATTGACAATTTCATGGTAGAATTAATTACATATGTTACTTTCCACTACTATTACCAAAAAGCTAGTATCATCTGTATTTGTTAAAGTTACAAAAGAAGGAAGCATGAGTTATTAGGTCATTGAGAAACATGTTATCTGAACAACAAAAAAAAACAAAACAATTAAATGAACGTTCACTCATCATTTAGTATTTAATTTTAAATGAAGCACATGAATCATAGATTAAAAGTTTAGTATCTATTTGTTCGTTTGATTTTCTTTCAATTACTAGTGTGTTTATGTTCCTTTTATCTTACTTAACATGCCATTTCATTCGTTATTTTTTTGTTTTCTCCGTATACTTACCATTACTACAATGACCTATTTTAATTCAGTAATTGCAGTGATAACCAGCACAAATCACTGATCAACTTTAACAAATTAAAGCTATATCGACTCGATCTACATCATGCTTTAGAAAAAGATTAGTATGATGATGTAGTTTATCACGTGAATCATTATAGAGTTTAGATGGGACAACAACAAAATAATAAAACATAGAGATGACATGTTTATTTTTTAAGAAGGAAATCAACTTAATCTAATTAATACTAATGAAAATAATTCCACAATGTAAGAGTATTTATAGTATTCCATCATTAGAGTCGATCACCGGAGAGTGCTAGTATTGAATTACGCATTCAGTAACTCTTACCCGTAAAACCTTACTTACTTACTTAATTAATTAATTAATTACGTCTGTTACTCCCAGTGGAGCATAGGCTACTGATCAGCATTCTCCAACCTACTCTGTCCTGGGCCTTGCATTCTAGTTCTATCCAATTGTTGTTCATTCTTCTCATATCTGTCTCCATTTCTCGGCGTAATGTGTTCTTTGGTCTTCCTCTTCTCCTTTGGCCTTGAGGGTTCCAGATGAGTGCATGCCTTGTGATACAGTTGGGTGTTTTCCTCAATGTGTGTCTTATCCATTTTCAGAGCTTCTTCCTGACTTCTTACTCCGCTGGGATCTGGTTTGTTCTCCCACAGTAGGTTGTTGCTGATAGTATCTGACCAACGGATCTGAAGTATTTTGCGTAGACAGCTGTTAATAAACAATTGTATCTCCTGGATGATAGCTCCAAGTTTCCGCCCCATGCAGTACAACTGTCTGAACATTTGTATTGAAAATTCTGACTTTGGTGTTGGTTGACAGTTGTTTTGAGTCGTAGGTGTTCTTCAATTGTAGATATGCTGCTCTTGCTTTGCCAATCCGCGCCTTCACTTCTGCATCAGATCCACCGTGCTCGTCAATGATGCTGCCCACATATGTAAAGGTTTTTACATCTTACAAAGCTTCTCTGTCAAGAGTGATTCGATTGGTGCATGTTATGTTGTACCGAAGAATCTTGCTTATCCCTTTGTGTCATTATAGTAGCAGTAGTAGTAGCATTTTTTTCCCAGTTCATTGTAATATTTATATCTCATGCTAGCACCTCATTATTCGCTGTGTTAAGCCTAATGGAACAGTCAAAACTTGAATAATAAATTTAAAATAAACTATATGCACAGTAAATTATCTGTTTATAGGAGATATCAAAGTTAGTGAAACCAAAGAAGAATATTATAAATCCTTTATTCTTTATCGAATGGTTGTAGACAAAAACTTTTGCTGGATGCACCTGGATTCCAACGCCGATATTTAAGAACAACAACAGTGTGCTAATTCGAACGCTTACAAATTGAATTGATTGTCACGTTTATTTATAACCGACTATAAATTTAAAACCTCTCTATAGGATCGATCAACACATGGTAATTTTAGAGGTATGGGGAAACAGACTACTTCTTAAATTGAAAGTGCCATCAGGCAAGTTAAGAGTGAGAAAACAGTATGACCTGGCAACATACCAGCCGAAGCACTGAAGTCAGACATAGAAGTAACTGTAAATATACTTCACGTTCTATTCAGAAGGATTACGGAAGAAGAACAAGTGCCACCGACAGACTAGGGAGAAAGACCTCATCGAGATAGCAAAGAGAGGAGATCTGAGCAAATGTGAGAACTACAGAGGCGTCACACTACTACTGTCAGTACCAAGAAAAGTTTTCAACAGAGTGTTGCTGAACCGGATGAAGGGTTTAGTAGACACCCAGCTTCGAGATCATTAGGTTCCGTAAGGACCGGTCGTGCACAGACCAAATTGTGAGACTACGGATCATCGTTGAATAACTGATTGAATGGGACTCGTCATTATATAACAACTTCATTGAATATGAGGTGTTTGACAGTATGCATAGGAGAACCTTATGGAACCTTCTTCGACACTATGGTGTATCTGAGGAAATTATTAACCTCATCCGGAATTCATATGACGGAACACACTAAGAAGTCGTGCACGGACGACACCTGACAGACTCACTCCAAGTTAGGACCGGAGTCAGACAAGGCTAACTACTCTCTGTATCAGAACGCCTCAACATACACATGAGAGAAAGCAAGATCCTCAAACACAAAACGGAGAACACCAACCCAATCACACTTGGTGGAGAAACTGTGGAGGAGGTAGAAAGTTTTACGTTCCTGGTCAGCAGCATGATCGATGAACAAAGAGGATCGGATGCAGACGTGAAGGCGAGGATTGGCAAAGCAAGGACAGCATTCCTACAGTTGAAGAACATATGCAACTCAAAACGACTGTTTGCAAGCCAACACCAAACTCGGAATCTTTAATACGAACGTCAAGACAGTTCTACTTTATGGAGCTGAAACTTGGAGAACTACCACAACCATTATCAAGAAAGCACAAGTATTTGTAAACAATTGTTTACACAAGATACTGAATGTCCGTTGACCGGATACCATCAGCAACAGCCTACTGTGAGAGAGACCAAACGAGATTCCAGCTGAAGAGGAAAATACGTTGGAGGTGGATAGGACATACATTACGGAAATCATCAAACTGCGTCACGAGGCATGTGCTAACATAAAATGCTGAAGGAAAACGGAAAAGAGGAAGGCCAAAGAACAGTGTGAGGAGAATTGGAAGCAGACATCAAAAGAATGAAAAGCAACTGGAAAAAAGTGGAAAGGATTGTCCAGGACAGAGCTGGGTGGAGAATGCTGGTGAGTGGCTTATGCTCCTCCACTAGAGGTGGCAGCTGTAATTAAGTTAATCTGAAAGGGATACACAATAAATTATACGTGAATTAATGATTTCAACTGTGTGACTATGAGGTAAAAGGTAAAAAGAATATGGATGTCAAGACTCTTATGTTAACTAAAATCAGCAGAATAGTAGTTATTTATCGTAAATCAGTTCCTTGCTTGGTAGAATAATCACAAGGATATGGGAAAGTCCAGGTGATAATTTTTAATAAAACCAAATATTTTCCATATTTTCCACTACCAACGGATATTACACATGGACAGACGTATGAATTTCCTTAAATAAGTTAACTCTTTTCCAAAAAATGTTATTATGAGAAGGAAATTCGAGTAGAAAACATCTTACTGACTACTTTCAAAGATCCATTCGGACAATGTATTACGCGATACAGAATATTATGATTATTAGCATTATTATCGTCAATGAAGAAAAACTGAAATAGGTAACTGATATACTACAGCTAATTACAAAGCGTGCCTTTTTTTATTATCATTTTCAAGCACATGTCTGTCTGTGTTTAGCTTATAATTGACTAATTTTATTTATTACTAATTAATATAACCACATATCTAAAAGGAAACAGAGGGGGTTAGTTACAAAGTCAATGATAACAAATGCCTATCATGTTTATTGTGTAAATCTCACATGTCAAATTAGAAACTAGCGATTTCAATAAAGGGGTGATTGCGTAAATGTGTTAATTCGTTTAAATAATAGATATTATATTTTAAAATAAAAATTCACCGCATGAATCAAATTTCAATTATCATTTCATTTTAGACGAAACTAATAACGGTAAGTAAAATAAACAATAATACATAATTATTTCTTGCTCTTTATTATCATAATCCTGTTAGACAGTAAATGCACTTTGATATTTGATTAACACTAAAAAGACATTTCGCTCAATTTTTTTAGAAGATTTATTCCCAATTGAAGAACTCAGAGATTGAGCATGTAAAAGAGAAAGAGAGAAACAATTGTACATATCATGTTATTTGTGTTTATTCCCTTGTAGGAAATTTAAAGCTAATCAGTAAGGTGGCTCCTAGAAATACATCAAAGTCAGATTATTATCAGACACTATCTACAAGATCAGCAATAGTAATTACACTGACAAATGAAAAGAAACACAATAATTTATTAACAGAATCCCTGTAACATACATTACTCATTTTAATTAATTAAATCACATTTAGTCAATAATTATTATATAACATGTGCCCATGTTTGGGATTTTACTTTGATTAACTATGACAATACAAACTCATTTAGATATAAATTCTAAAATGCATAGAAGAAAGCAAATTACACCTAAACGAACTGAACATACTGGTAGGTATTTTGTTATTCATACGTTATGACTTTATTATTATTATTATATTTAACGCATATTGTTATAAAACTGAAACTAACACAGTTTATACATCATTTAGTTGTTGTTTTTATATAATAAGAATAATCAATTTAGATTGGCATAGAAAGGTGCGACTTGGCTGGTTAGCATACTGAACTGCTAACAGTTGTGTATTACTCTCATGTGCACGTCAGGTGGATGCAAAACTTAATATTGTTATGGTGAATAGTTTATTCAGTCAGTGGTTGGATTTCACTTTTGGATATGTAGAGTCTGATCAATAACCTAGAGATTAATGATTCGGATTATGACATTATTCACTAAGTTTTAATTTCATTATTATGGTGTTACCAATTATTATTTAGTTGAATGGATTCTAGAGATTATTTCAGTCAGAAGATGGTTGTGGTATATTACTAAATTACTGAAATCGAAAATATGGGGGATTGAAAGCCAACTCAATGGACTAAAAGTAATTCGCACATTGTGCGACCTATCTCACTGGTTTAGTATTGGGTGAGGTTTTTAATAGCTCTCCAGCTGACATCGTTCCTTTCATACTCAACTTCGACGCTTAAACAGGGGCCGTGAAGAACAAGTCAGAGAACACCAGGGGTAGTTTCGGACTTGAATGTGAATGTATAAACTAAATATTCAGCATTTGGTAGGCTATGGAATGAAGATATACTTTTCGATGTCCAACAATAGTTATATTGCCCGACCTTAAGGAGGCGTTCAACTCTTTCGAGATCCTGTGGCAGTGCCGTTCGGTGAAAGGCATGCCAAAGAAATACATTGAGCTTTCACAGGCTCACTACTCGAAGACTACTGGTCGAGTCAGAGCTTATAGTGAACTGTCACCGAAACTGATTACTTCAAGTGGCGCTCGTTAGGGTTATCCGCTTTCACAATTTTTATTTAACTTTGTCACTGACATCCTTTTGGAGGTAGTGCTCTAACTTTTCAGTGGTTGGTCTTCTGTCAAGTGATTTACTTGTTGACTTATAATACACGGATAATATAGTTATACTTAATGATGATACCGACAAAATGCAGAGTCTTTTGACCACCATAAGCAACAGTGCAAGCGTGTTGCATATGTGATTCCCTCTCTAAATGCATAACGTTGCTCCAGGGCTGGGTTGGGTTAGCACTTGGGTTAATAATAGGAAGTGGAGTAGTTGAATGTATTAATAGTTTCGCTTATCTTTGGAGTCGCATCAGTCTTGGTGGTCTGGTATCTGAAAGAATGTCAGCATGGATTCAGGAGGCTCGACTGGCCTTTGCCAACTTGCGTCACTTGTGGTGTAGGTGAGATATCCTTCTTCAAACCAAATGGCGAGTTTACTGTGCAGTAGTTTGCTTCGTTCTAATTCGTGGATGTGAAACAGCCATTAAAGATAGAGAACATTAGTAGGCTGCCAGTATTCGATCAGTGATGTCTTCGAAGTATTGCTGATGTGCTTTTGGACCACCGAATATGTAATGTCTGGGTTAGGGATAGGGTACTTAGTAAAATTGGGAAATCGGTTAATGAGGTAATAAATCTCCATCAACTAACGTGATTGAAACATGTGTTATGTATACCCAATCACTACCTACCTCGACGGGTGATGTTGTCTTTTTAAAATTTCATTAAATCATATTTTCTCGAATCGTTTCTTCCTTACCTAAACTTTTGCATTACCACTAATACTATTGCTATCTCTGCTACTCTGGAATTTTCCCCAACAATTTCATCACGCCGTGCTAATCGGGTATGGTGTCTTGGACCCATATACACATGTACCAGGTTCTACGATGCGTCTGACTGACTGACCGAACTATTATCGACAGTCCACTCAAATAAACAACACGATTATACTAGCCACCATTAGTAAATGATAAAACAAACGCCGCATAATACAGCATTAAAATACTGAGACTCAAGTTATTATAGTCTGATAATCTGTGGACAAACGTTTTCCTTTCCAAATAAAAACAACTTAACTGTTCATAACTATACGTAGTGTACGCTCTACTGTAATATTAAAAATTAAGTCACAAAGTACGTTCTAGTTAAGTTGTAATTCAGATTACCAAACCAAATATTTCTGATAATTTTTAAAAATAAAGTGCTACGTTATTGATTCCATATAAATCGAATTGTCCCAAATAGGATGAAATGGATGTTCAAGATTTCACTGTTAACAACGGTCTATAAATACAATATCAGATAGTTGAGTTGTATGATTCCATATCCATGTAAAGAAACATCTCGATAATCAAAAAATTATAATAAACTAGTTACCACCCATTGAACTACTCCTTTTTTGTCTTTAAATCATTAAAATTCTCAACTACAATCAGTTCAAACTTTACCAGAATCATCAACCTCTCCAAGGTTGTAAGTCAAATCGTTCATGACAATAATGAATAAGAATTAATACACTACAGGTTGACTGGATTTAAAAAAGTAAAAGAAACGTGTTCAGCAATATGAAACAAATACAATGGTTTGAAAGTAAACTTTTGACATTACTGACAAATTTATGTACTGTTGAATGATACAGTTACATAATGTAGTAAAGTAACTATTCACTTCTCTCTTATTCTTTCACTCACTCAATAATTCCTAATAAAGATCACCTTTATTAGATGATAATTATTTTTTAGAAGAAAAATGTTTGTAGTGCTTTTCATGTCATTGAAATGATAACTTCAGTTGTTTTAATTTTTATGTCTTTTTTATGCACCAATAAGCAATGTGTTACCCATGAGAATAACTGAACATTCAACACTGTCTATATTATTCTTTGTATCAGTAAAGATTATCATTATTAAGCTAATTTATTTATTTACTTATTTTATCTGTTTAACACACCATTAAAAGAAAAATAGGATAGACTTACATTTCTTTTATTATCAGTAAATTTATTCCTTGTTCGATCAAATTTAATCCTTTTTTACAAACATGATTATAGTTAATAATACAATAAGAACTACCTATTCCACTGTAAGGTTGCTAGTACCGTTGTTACATATCCTAGTTAAAGCCAATGTATCTAGAAAGGAATTTCTGCCATTCTCTGTCTTAATTTAGCTAGTGTACTCATCTCACCTATTAAATATAGGTTTATGAAGTCGGTTTCCAACTACCATGTTCAAGTGGTAGTTTAATAATTACAAAAATCATTTAGATGCAAGTAATTATTATCATATTGCTCATACCTTCTTACTAATTGACTTCAAGATCTCCAACTTCCGTGGTGTATAAGCATCCCTATGAATGTTTAGTAGTGTTGACTAGTCGAAGGAAGTCATTAGGAAACATCTAATGAACTGAAACTAAGTTCATATGCGAAAAAAGCAACAAGCTTGAGTTTTATCATTAACTGTTCTGTCTCAGTCAGTTCGCTATAAAATAAAAACAGAGGGTAGTTGTCGTCAAATGCGTTAACTACAGATATTATTTTTAAGACAATTTCTTTAAAAAGTCTCTATTTAAGGATTTGTTACTTCTAGAAGAAGTGATTGACTAATTAAGACCGCATAGACCCTAACTGTTATAATTACTGCTCTTAGACCTTTCAGTGTATATTTCATAAAGCTCATTACAATGTTAAGGGATATGTGAGCATTCGGTTTAAGTACAGGTAGTGAAGCGATCAGATTAGCTAACTGTTTCAGATTTTCAGATAGTTACGTTCCGAATAACAAATAGATCTCAATAAAAAAAATTAAACACTTGGCTACCTGAAATTTTTTTTGCATTCACTCCTATTTATATTATACCACATGTCTTCTCCGGAGTAATTATGCTGCTACAATAGCACTGATGCTCAAAAGAACATTTAAAAAATATTGTCGCTATATAATCATCACATTTAGATTGAATGAGTATTACTACACGCAGGAATAATAGTTGTTTTTATTAACAAACAGTCTGGGTTTCATAGTACAAATTTCCATCTACCATTTATCCTGAAAGTGACAATAATTGATGTGAAAAAATATTCACTGATGATATCAAGATACATTAGATAAATCAAGTAATTTGTAATAACAAGTTTAAACACTAGTGACTTGCAGTCTTTGGAAATGTTTGAGTTAAGAAAGTAGGACTTGCTGTCTGAAACAATCATAACTGTCGCCAGTTAAGCAGTTGGGTCTGTATTAATAAGACTGGTGAATTAAATAACTGTTGATTCTAGACTATTAGTTTTACCTGTCGCATTATATGAATCTCTGTCTTCTTCAAGGAGAACCAATCCAGAAGTTAGAAAAATATCGTTTACTTGTCGATTCCCTAGTAGTATTTAGCCGTCTAATTCCTATCACTAACATGTTTCTATAGATTAAGATTCCAAGATTATCATAAAGTCAAACAACTTAATATCACAGTTTACTGGATTGAATGCAATGCAATAAAAAGCAAATGACAACAAGAGGCAAATATCTTTATTTATTTATTTATTCAATATTTTAAGTGTTACATTGATAAATCACCTGGTAATTTTCAAACAAGCCATCTAAACTCTCAGTAAAGTATCATTCAAACAAACGATTCAATATGAACTATTTGAAATTAAGTAACATACAATAAGTTTTGTGTAAATTCAACTAATATTGATTGATGTCAGTTAACTAGCTGATTGATTTATTGTTGGTTTATAGTATTGAAAGCTAAAACAATGAAATTCTGCACTTATCAACTTTATATTTGCACTGTATGGAACTAACATTTTGCATTATCTTCATAAAGTTGTCTACCTGTCTTAATATTGTTAATATTGTTATAGCTCGTGTCATTACACTTTTTTTCATATAAAATTAATGTGTTATTTAACCTATGAAATATTCTGAAGAAGAAAAAATGCACTTAAAGTAATTACGAACATGAATCGGTTGAAGGCGAAATCCGATTCATAGTCAATCATACTAATAAATAAACTAGTGCACACGGTAATATATTTATCTTTTTTTTGTTTTATTTTGG